GGTAACATATGCCCCCCCCCCCCCCACTAGGGCGAAGTTGGCTGAGACCGCCACTAAGGCGCGAGTTAGGTAAACTGGATGATGTTTGAAGGTTAAAAAAAAAAGTTTCTAGTTGCCCGATATTCAGGGGCGTAGCCAGGATTTCCTCAAGGAGGGGGCCAAACGCTTAGGGGCCCAAGATAACCCCCTCAAAATCCAAAAAGTCATCGGGTTGCATCCATTATTTTTTTTTTTTGGAGGGGGCCCAAATAAATAGAAAAAAAAAATATTTATTAACAAAAAATGTTAGAACTGAGGGGGTAAGCACTTAAGCAGTCCATGAGCCCCTGTTAGATAGGCCCACGAATAGTTTCATAGAGTCGCCAGCCGGTTCTGAGGGCGGTCTGAGGGCCCGTAGGTCGGATGAGGGCTCTTCAGACCGCCACAGGCCCCTACAGCCCGTGAGAGCCTCGTAAGCCGTCTGAGGGTCATATAAGCCGTCTGAGGGCCACTCAGACCGACAAAAGGCCCCCTGCACTTGCCAGAGGCCCAGTCAGACCGACGGAGGGCCTTCTCAGACAAACTAAGGACCCGTTCAGGTCATTTGAGTGCCTCCTCAAACCGATAGGGGCCCCTCAGATCGACAGTGGATCCGATCCGAGCTCCCTCACAACCGATATAGGGTCACACCAACAGTCGGAACGCATTGATTCTGTTTACACACCGTTGGACCCAAGTTGGACCCATCCCGTCCAACTGGCCCCCTGGTTTCAATAGTGCCCCAAGGCTAAAATTGGGGCTCTCTTGGCCAAAGTATAACTACTCAGCTGTGTCAAAGGATCTGCCGCAGGGGCCTTTGCGTCGCCAAGGGCCCACTGTGTCAGTCAGGGACCCCTATGATATAAGGACCTCTGGCTTCCAGGGGGGGCATGGTCCCTTTGGCCCCCTCCTTGGCTATGCCACTGCAGGTGACAAACGTTCTTTCAGGCGACCAGGGGGCAGGGGCCAGGCGACCAGGCCCCCAGGCGACTAGCCCCCCCCCCAAGCGACCAGGGGCCCCTAGGCGACCAGGGGCCCCAGGAAACCGGGGGTCCTCGGATAGGTGCAGGGGCCCATTGGGTCATCAGGGGCACCTCGGGTAGCCAGGGCCACAGAAATGAAACTTCGATATCAATTTCCTTCCGAGTAAAAGACGTTTTATCAAGTGTTTGAAAAAATATCCCGGGGCCTAAGGGCCCCCATGGCGCCTTCTGCGCTCAAGGGGGGGCCATTGCCCCCGTGGCCCCTCCCCATTGGCTACGCTCCTGCCGATATTGGTATTCATGGACAAAGCCACCATAGGTGAAGCAACGTATCTCTTTGGTGAAGGATACCTTTCACCAAAGTTTTAGATTGGTGAAGGATCCTTCACCATCTCGAGCAATGCATGTGAGGGTCTTCGCCAATGCTTAGAACGACTGGTTCGACGGTTGATCTAATGAAAAAGGAATAGCAAGGCCAAATGGGATGAACAAAAGGCTAAGACAGCAACAGGCACCCAATTATCCCGTCCTTTTAGTTATGAAGTGGTATCCATACCTTCTCCACAATTCAAGCCATTTTTTATAAATGATTGGTAGGTAAAGTTTAAAACTAAATTGAAGTTGTTAAACGTGTAAATGTATCTAAGTAAGTGCCGTGAATATCAAAATAAATTGGCTTGTTTTTACTCGTGGAAAATTTGTAGGACTTTGGTGACGAAAAAAGAGCAATGGAGCATAACTTTAGGCATAAGAGCACCCGTGTGTAGCATCTACCTAGGTCCCTCAATGGTCCAAAAAGCGGCCCCGTTTACATGACCGGTTTACGTCAATTGCAAAGGAGTTCATGTTCGTAAGGATTTATGCTGGTCTCTCAGTATCATGCATCAAGGATTAAGTATTTCAATTTCATTGGCTCCCTCCAGCCCTCAGGCTCAGGCCACTGGTGAGTGTGAGAGGCCCGCGTGAGACAGATGGCTGAACCTGCACCCATATCAGCATAAACCCTTTCAGACATTATGTAAGCCTTGGCACCAATGTAAAGGACAATCCAGGGCCCATAGATTTCGGTGAGAGCATTCAGAGGTTTTCGTCAGCATTGCCAGCCTTTAAATGCCAGTATGGGCCTCCAGGAAGGTACAAGCACGGGCCTTTCGAAAGGTGGTTGGGGACGGTGTAGAAAAGTGTTGCCAGTTGCAGAAAATGTATGGCCAATGTCCGTCCAACGTCCGGCAGTTAAGTAGACTCTCCGTCCAAAGATGTTCAAGCCAGCCATTTCACAGTGGGGATTTTTCCGATCTAGCGCGTCTTAATTCCAAAAATCATTTTTGGGTTTTTGTTAATTTTTTGTGTCAGTGGGGCTAAGAAATGTCTGAATTTTTCTTATATGGCATTGTTTTATCTGTATGACCAGTGTACATACGAAGGTGCAAAGCCATAAAAATACAATAGGATTAGGAGATCATTGCTACACACACTCCGCTGCGGTAAAGGCACTATGCATGGCGGATAGGCACATGGAATGTGATGTACGACCCGTGAAATATGCAGACTCGTGTTTGGCCAGAGGCAGCGTCTCAGATCTGTTGTGTATTGGAGCTCCAATCGGGTAGGTACTACAGCAGCACGCGTGCGTGCCCGTGGCGAGCGCCAGGCCCCGTGGGCCGCGGCGCCTAGCGTACGTACGGTGTGTCTAAAAAGTATGTCCCCTGGTTTTGCTCTCCCACCGTAGGCGAATCGGTAACTTGGCGGAATCCGCCATCGAGGTAGGGAGGGTCGGAGAGGGGAAGGGAGGGGAAGGAGGGGCAACCGCTCGGGACCAGACGATACCTGGCTGACCCCGCGCTCCCTCCATGACCTCCGTCCTGCCCTCAGGCGAGGACCGATTTCCTCGGCCCGTAGCGGCCGAGCGGTGAAGCCGAGCTCGCGGGGCGCGACCGCACTGGCCCAATCTTATAAAGGGAGTGCTATTCTTTTCACGGCATTAGGTAATATTTATAGTGATACGAGCACTCAGCAGTGGATGTGTGAAAATACAGTCCAAAATAAGCGGAAGCATCAAGCACACAATTCATTCAAAATATGCTCTCCCATTCCAATAAAGTCACCACTTCTATGGCGGGAGTATTTTCTTAGAGCGTAAAATTCGCGCTGCTGCAAACGAAGACACTATCGAACTTCATGAAATCGGGCGCTGGGATCCCGTCAATATACGATGAAATTAAATGCGTTAAAACAATTTTGCACGTAATAGCCGTTTCCTTTAGCCAATGCCCAGTGACGTCATATCCATTCCCCGGCGTTTATAAGACTGCCCCCCCTCCCCAGCACCGCACGAGGAAGATTGTTCAGAGAGAGAGAGAGAGAGAGAGAGAGAGAGAGAGAGAGAGAGAGAGAGAGAGAGAGAGAGAGAGAGAGAGGAGAGAGAGAGAGAGAGAGAGAGAGAGAGAGAGAGAGAGAGAGAGAGAGAGAGAGAGAGAGAGAGAGAGAGAGAGAGAGAGAGAGAGAGAGAGAGAGAGAGAGAGAGAGAGAGAGAGAGAGAGAGAGAGAGAGAGAGAGAGAGAGAGAGAGAGAGAGAGAGAGAGAGAGAGAGAGAGAGAGAGAGAGAGAGAGAGAGAGAGAGAGAGAGAGAGAGAGAGAGAGAGAGAGAGAGAGAGAGAGAGAGAGAGAGAGAGAGAGAGAGAGAGAGAGAGAGAGAGAGAGAGAGAGAGAGAGAGAGAGAGAGAGAGAGAGAGAGAGAGAGAGAGAGAGAGAGAGAGAGAGAGAGAGAGAGAGAGAGAGAGAGAGAGAGAGAGAGAGAGAGAGAGAGAGAGAGAGAGAGAGAGAGAGAGGGGGGGGGTTTGGTGTTTTGCAAATTTTGCATTGTTGACCTTGAGGTCAACATCAGTTGACCTCAACCGAACAAAACGTATGCCTACCATTCGACACCTCTGAGTGAGGCGAAATAAACGATTATGCAAAAACCGCGGCTCTGCGGCAATTTTGCGGTTATTTATCAAAAACCGATTTCTTGCCTTGGGCTATATTACCTGACCCTGACCTGGTTAACGCGTTATAAGTTTTCTCGGCGAACACTATTGTTTATTAGGCGTCTACCAAAGATGAACTATCCAAAGTTCTCACTTTATGAAAATAATGTAAAATTTCCTTTTTATTTCAATTTTGTTTTTCTTTCTGATAAATTAAAGGAAAACTGAAACAAAACATTAAAATAGCAAAAACAAAAATGACGAGTGTATTTTTCTGTCACAAATTTCCAGGAGTGTTTTTGCAGCGATAGTAGCTCGGCATCGTTTACTTCGATCCGGATATTGTTGTTCAATGGTGGCCTCTGCGAACTTAGAAAAGCTGTTTATGGTCATGAAGGCCTGCATTGGCACACTATTACCACGATGTGGTTAGCCAGATGTTTTTCTTCAACGCTCCCTTTTGGCTCAGACCTCAGACACGTCGCTAAACGTGGCACCCGTAGCAAACGTGTCAAACGTGGCAAAACTTCACAGTCTCTACGAACCCTCATCAGCACTCCTTGGCTTGGTGTGTGACCCCTGCCCTTTGGCCGAGACAGCCGTCAGCCTGTCTGCGGCTGCGCCGCGCGCCGCGCGGCGCACCGCTCCTTAGCGGGCGGGGGAGCCCACACCCCTCCCTCCTTCCCGAGGTCGTGTCACGAAGGTTCGGGATTACGCTACTATCAGCCACTGCGTAGCTGCCGCCCAGCGCATGGGAATGCGTGGTTTGGTCCGGATTCAGCCAACTACCGGCTCGCGACACCAGCGCCGCGTGGTGGCGAGGGGACATTCTTTTTAGACATACTATACGCGCCGCGCCGGCCGGGCCGCAGCGGCACACTCAGCAGAGCCGCGCGCGCACAGAGAGGGCGCTTCACTTGGGCGCCGCCCGCGCGTAACATGTACGAATACAAACCAACATTTGGTTGGTCCTGTGCATTTGCTTATTTTAGGTGCTCGCACGAACTGTGATTGATGTTTTGCCGGCCGGCAGGATATTTAAGTTTATCACGGAGGCGCTGGAGTCGGGCGGCCGTGTCCTCATCCACTGCGATCAGGTGAGAACGCTCACCGGGTGAGAACGCTCACCGGGTGAGAACGCTCAGCGGGTGATAACGGTGGCCAGGTGAGAACGGTGGCCAGGTGAGAATTTCTTCTTTTTTTTTTTGGTCACTCGAGAGGGTTACGGCTTACGGTTGCAATGTGAACTGATCACTTTTCGGTCGCCGTCTTTCATCAGCATGCGGCCAGCTTGAGGCGCTTCTCGGCTCATGTTAACCCGAGCATGAGTGGGGGGGGGGGGCGGGGCTCTACAAAGCCCCTCCCGTTTTTCTGCAATATCTTCTTATCTGCTTGATGTATCAACAAGAACCTTACAGTATCTCCAGCAGAATCAATTTAACACCTTGTGTTTAAATTTCAACTCTAGCTGCCATAGGTCGGCCGGAAATGACGTCAGAGTGACGTCATAATGGCCGATTTTGATACTAAAAACTGGCCAGGGCCCGTAACTAAGAAACTATACGAGATACAGACGTGCTTTTGGGCTCAAACGGAACTTTGGAGACTAACGACCATTTAGAGTACAAAATGTGTCGGACCAGATGCTTATGTACTGAATACTGACGTCACAAGTGTCACGAAACATATACAAATATTGTCATGTTCTAGCTATGAATGCACGAGCATTTAGGTATCTGTAAATTTAGAGTTATCATGGGCCTGAAGAAGGCTCATCGATGAGGCAAGTCAAGGCTGAGGACATGACCTTATTAATTAGCGTTGATAACCTCAGGTGACCTTGAATGCTCAGGAGTTATTCACGTAGGACCTACAATCTTTATACTTATTTCAAAAACATTTTCAAACGCATGTTTTGATATCAAATTGATGTCAACCCTGTCCCCACGTAAGTCCAGAGTCTTGTATGTTTTACGTCACATGACGTCAGGGGCGGATCCAGCTAATCCGTTTGGAGAGGGCAAAAGTTTCTGACCCATTCGGTGACCCCGACCCACCGTCGCGCCGGTGACTTTACAACGCTACACTTCATCTGCAATCTGCATGCGTGCGGTTCAGGGAGTTCCATGTGTTATCAGCATACCGGCCTAAACAATGAGCAGCGAGCCGTCAGCTCCATCCTTCAGAATGATTGTGACGGAAGGACCTGCTTTTCGTCCAGATAGGCATCGACGCCGTACCTATTATATTTTCTCGTTACCGAAAGCTTTGGGAGGGGCAAAAAGATGGTCTAACCCACACAATTTAGCTATGGGGAGGGCAAATGCCCACTCTGCCCTCCCCTGCATCTGCCACTGCATGACGTTAGATTGAAGAAATTGTAGAATGTATCCCAAAACTTCTTACCACTTCATATTGTATGGTGCGTTATGTAATATGCAATGCAGTCAGTTAGTATTGTCATACTAATTGACGCTTACTGCAGCAAACGGATACCTTTTCATAAAGTTGGACAGCACTTATGATATCACCTACATCGGACGCATTAATACTGACAAGAGACCGATGCTAACCCCGCCAAACGCAAACAGGTAATGGACGATCAAAAGCCGATCATCGTGATGCGTGCTGTGGCACGTCTCATAGAGCCGCCTTTCAGCTCACATTCCCACTGCAAACTGCGCACATAATTATTATTTGATTGCGTTTCATCAGGTAATAAATGATGTTTATAAACTATCAAGCAAGCACGTGTATGGACCATACAGCTCCAGAGCCCACCTATGAATTTGCTGCAATATTCACGGAGTGGTACATACGTTCCTGTTAAAGACCTATTATAGGTACTATACTTAATTAATTTTACCAATAATGATCTTGATATTTAACCCTCGCCCGCACATGGGGGGTTGCCACCCCCCCCCCCCCAACATTTTTAGAGCTAGAAGTCTGATTTTTAGTATAGCTGCTCCTCTATCCTTTCTTGATGTCCACTAAAAATTTCACATTTCTGTGGTTTTTGGTTTCAGAGATATGACCTTATTTTTTCAGGTCATGTCATGTCATGACCCAAATGACCAATTCTCAACATCTTGCGTTGGCTATGGGCCTTGTGAGCGTTTGACACCTTGATTTCGGCCTTTTTTGCCAGTCTTACCTACCACCTATCATGGAACATGTTGTTCGACGATGCACAGATGTCAAGTTCAGGGTCAACGTCAACCTAGGTCATCTAAAATAATTGCGTTTTCGGCAAGCGTAATTTACTTTTCGTGACGTTTTTTACTGCATTTTTTGTAAAAGCTTCTCAGATCATGATTTCATGTAATATGGACACATAAACACTCGGTGCACACATCAGTATACACGCAGACACACACAGACATACAAACACATATAATTGACCTTGACCTAACTTTACCTGAAATGACCTCAGCAGCAAAAAACTTGCCGGGTAGTGTTACAAAGAGTTTCTAGCTGGCTTGGCACCAGAAAACGGCATCGTCATCGGTATATGCAAAGCAGCGCACTTGATATCCAACGGTGACCCAAAACAGCAACTTTTTTAGTTTGACCCGACCTGGAAGGTCAATAACTGACCTGAGAAGGTAAAACTGGGTATCATTGGATTCGTCTCTTCCCAGAAAATATTTTTGGTCTTACCGGGAAGCTCTATCTCCAACAGGAACGAAATGGCGCGGGGGGGCACCCCCATGTGCTTTCTAGGATGGGAAAATGGCATGTGCGGGCGAGGATTTTAACCCTCGCCCGCACATGGGGGGGGGGGGGTTGCCACCCCCCAGGTAGTCTTTCTGCTCTGCACTCAACATTTTTAGAGCTAGAAGGCTTTTTTCGTATAGCTGCTCCTCTATCCTTTCTTGATGTCCACTTATAATTTCAAGTTTCTGTGGTTTTTGGTTTCGGAGATATGACCTTGTTTTCAGGTCATGTCATGACCCAAATGACCAATTCTCAACATCTTGCGTTGGCTATGGGCCTTGTGAACTTTTGACACCTTGATTTCGGCCTTTTTTGCCAGTCTTACCTCCCACCTATCATGGAACATGTCGCTCGACGATGTACAGATGTCAAGTTCAGGGTCAAGGTCAACCTAGTTCATCTAAAATAATTGCTGAATTTACTTTTCGTGAAATTTTTTGACTGCATTTTTGGTAAAAGCTTCTCAGATCATGATTTCATGTAATATGGACACATAAACACTCGGTGCACACGTTACACACAGACACACACAGACATACAAACACATATAATTGACCCTGACCTTACTTGACCTGAAATGACCTCAGCAGCAAAAATCTGGTCGGGTAGTGTGACAAAGATGTTCTAGCTGGTTTGGCACCAGAAAACGGCATCGTCATCGGTATATGATAAGCAGCGCACTTGATATCCAGCGGTGACCCAAAACAGCAACATTTTTAGTTTGACCTGACCTGGAAGGTCAATGACTGACCTGAGAAGGTAAGACTGGGTATCATTGGATTCGTCTCTTCCAAAAGAATCGTTTTGGTCTTATCGCTAAGCTCTATCTCCAACAGGAACGAAATGGAACGAAATTTTTAACTAGAAGTCCCGCTGATGTTTTTAGCGATAGTTTTTACACTTTTAGAGGACACGTTTTAAACTATGTGAAAGGGCTGGAAGCGGCGTGATCGCATCCGCTGTGCTTTTAGTGTTTCTTGTTTACTAGGCTTTTTAGGCTATTATTTATTTATTTATTTACATCTCCTGTGTTTATAACTCTACGTGTTTTTATCTTCAGTGTGTGTGTGTGTGTGGGGTGTGTGTGTGTGTGTGTGTGTGTGTGTGTGTAGGTGTGTGTGTTGTATGTGTGGGTGTGTGCTGTTTTACTGTCCCTTTGACTTCGCCTTTTAAGTGGACTTATTGTCTGTTGGCGATTTTAAATATACAAATACAAATACAAATGGCGCGGAGGGGGTGGCAACCACCACCACCCCCCCCCCCCTCATGTACGTTCTAGGATGGGAAAATGGCATGTGCGGGCGAGGGTTCAAACACGGTGGGCCGGTCCGCCAGCCGCTCGACCGGGGCGCCGGACTGCGCGGTGGCGTCCCTCCCCGGCGGTCGGTTTAGGGGCGCTTCCCCTGCGAGTGTGTACCTATTAGTGGTGTCAATCGGTTACCAAAATGTCGGTATACCGATACCGAACCAATACCGATTCGGTATTCGGTATTATATACCAAAAGCATTTGGTATTTTGTCGGTATTATGAAAATCAACTTCTGCCATAAAAGATTTGAAAGCATTTTTGACAAACCTTCTGAACTCAAATTTGATTTGCTAAATGACACTGGATGAAGAAAAATGGCAATCATGAGACATTTCTCCCAAATGCATGATGTCCTAACCAATGGGCAAACACATTAACTGTAATATCAAATACATCACTCTACCAATGTTAAATGGCAACTTATCAGTGTAAGCAAATTCCAATACCATGAGGATAATTATCTTACAAAGAAAGCCAATGTGCAAGACATAAAAATGAATTAATGTTTAACTTACTGCATATTGAAAAACATACTTTAACTACCTTTCTCAAAAATTCCAAACCATTTATTAGCAAACAAATTTGACTTTGTTTTGAGGAGTCTGTGGTTGATCTTGACCTTGTCTTGCTCTCCGTTTCACTGCAATGCAATTACATTATCCAAAACCCTGTTTAATACAGCACTAGCTTCACCATTATCATATAATATTGAAGGCAGCATTTGTCACTTCATCATCACCCCAAAAATCTTCAACTTCGCTCAACTTCAAAAAGCGTCTGTAGTGAGCGATCCTGTCATGATCCTGTGGATAATTTATTTTCTTTAATTAGTGTTTTCTTTCCTGCTCTCGTCAACAGATACAGATCGCTAGCAATGTAATCATAAGCATTCATAAAATATAATACGGTCGTCAAGTTAGATGTAAGTAAATCCTAATATATAATCTAAGATTCGGAATCAGGCGAGACCCTACGATTTGGACCAAACTTACGTAACTTACGTAACAAACTTACGTACGTAACGTCCTGATTACGATGCACCCAAAATCAAAGCTCGGCCCACCATATTTACGAAGTTACGGATG